ATTCGCTCCATCACCTTGGAAAGCAAGGAAGTTATCGCGATAGGCCTGTAGCTCGATGGGTCCGACCGGTCACCCTTCTTGGGGATAGGGTGGACGTGGGCGGTCTTCCATGAAGACGGAACCCTGTTAGTGCAATAAGAGAGGCGATACAAACGCGTTAGCGCAGGTGTCAGCTCAGGGGCGCACGTTTTCAAAACCACTGCGGGGATGCCGTCTGGCCCACTCGACTTATGGACGTCCAGGAGTCGGAGCTCCCGCCTGACTGCACACTGTGTGAAGCAGATATCTGGCAGGGAGCTATCACACCGAGGGATGTTCGGTGGTGTGGCACCCCCGTCGTCCACAGTCGAGTTCGAGGCGAAGAGTTTGACCAGAAGGTCAGCCTTCTCTTTCGCGCTGTGGGCCAGACTGTCATCGGACTTGCGCAGTGGTGGGAGACTAGACCTGCAAAAGTTTCCTTCTGCAGCCTTGGCGAGCGACCAAAAAGCACGGCTCCCGGAGGGATAGCTCTTCAATCGCTCGCCAACTCTAGCCACCTACATGGCGCGCGGGTTTGTGCGGGACTGGACGTTCCGCAGATGTTGGGAGTGGCCCGCGGATCCAAGGGGTGGAATTTAGGAGTCTACGCACTAAACGATTCCCCTACACTCTTTCACCCGACGTCTGATCTCCGTCCGGGGTCAGAATACGATCAGAGTAGGAAGGTTTCCGTGGTCAATACCCGATACAACCAAACTCGCAGTGCCATCCCGAGGACGCCCGACCGACGGCTCGTCGGCCTCTCCCGTTCCGCCGCCTCCTTTCGCGAGATGGTGGTCTCGTAGAAGTCGAGCATCGCCAGGATTCGTCGCTGCCGAGCATCATAGCAACGACGCTCGGCAGCGACATTTTTTTTTTTTTAATTGGTTTGATGGTCCAATCCTATTTTCGTGACGAGGCCGCGGCGTTGTTCCGCGAAAGCGGGGCAATGCGCGAGCATGTGCTCCGCCGTGTCCTCGTCATAGCCATTGCAGTGGTGGCAATTTGGCGTCAGCTTCGTCCGGACAATGAGGCGCAGGTAGCGGCCGAAGCAGCCGTGTCCTGTGAGCACCTGCGTCGCTCGGTTACGATTCACCCAATCTGAGAAAACTGGGCGGATTGCCTCGACGGTCCATCGCCCGTAATCGGGATTCGTCAGGCGGTGAGACCACGCCTTGAGCACGGCCCACAGAGATTAGAGTATCTGCGCTCGTACTTCCATCGCGGCGCGACGTGGTTCTCCCATGGAATGGAGATCGCATCTCCACGCGTATTCTATGGCGAGCGCATCCACTTCCAGGTTCCAGAAAGGCGTCCCGGTGAATACGCACGCCGCCACGGACGAGAAGATACGATACCTGCGAATCATCCTGACCGTAATTGCGGGCTGCAGATGTGGCAACGCCGCAACATTGTCGCGGTTCAGATCTAACTTTTCGTAGTGAGCATGGAAGCTTCAACGACTATCCAGCAGGAGACCGAGGTGCTGCGTAACCCGGTCGCCTCGATTTCGAGGCAGACGTCCCCGATCACGAGGTGGGCCCCGAGGCGATGCTCTCCGGGCCTCGTGAAACAACAGGCCTTGGGATTTCTTGAGTGCTACTTCCAGGCCCAGTCTTCGGATCATGGCGACGACGAAGGCCACCGCACAGAACAGACGGCCAAACTCGTAAACACTTTCCTCGGGTCACGACCAAAGTGTCGTCTGCGTAGCAAATTACGCCCAAGCCCGGGAGAGGAGGAGCGCGAAGGGCGCCCCTCAGGACTCAGTCGTAGCCGATTTTCCACATAGGGGCCAAGTGGGTCAAAACCCGATCTCTGTGGAATACCGCACTCGACGGGGAAGCGGAGCACTACCCCACCGTTCCCAGTGCACCGACCTTTCTTCGAGGTAGGATCCGATCAGCCGATGGAGATACGCAGGGTCGCCTGAAACTGTAGCGCAAGAGCGCTAGATGTCGCTGAGCGTAAGAACGATCACCGACAGTGCACAGTGTTGAACGCGTTGGCGATGTCCAGGGACACCCCTAGTGTAACCCCGCCTCAGCCGACAGCCTCATCGGAGAGGGAGCGCACGTGCATCAGCACGTCGATGGTCGAGCTGCCCTCCTTGCTGAATCGCCAACAGTCAACATTTTCCTCTGATCGATTATTCTATTTAAGCAATAACCAAATTGAATAGCTCCATAACAGCATCTAACAGCATCCCGAAGGCCTTAGCAGACCGTTATAACTGTCAATACTTGAACCATTGTACCATCGTTCACTTGCGGACTAAATAAAAATAATAATAATAATGATTGATTCGAAGTAAGTATCAGTTGAATGGAATATTTAAATTTATTTAACTGATAATTATTTTTAATAATGATTTTTTTTATTATTTTTTTATTTTTTTTGGTAATTTTAAGTGTGTTTCAACTATGTTATGTACACATATGGACTTGTTGTTGTTGTCTGAAATAAATAAATTATTCATTCATTCATTCATAACAAAATCTCGTTTCAATGTAGTCTGATTCCGTGCTTTCATAATAAATCTTCTTACTGTCCATAGCTCTAACGAATTACTTCTTAATTCAAGTCAAATCAATTCAATTAATCAATTAATAACCTAGTTCATTGTTTGTTTCCCACATAAATTGTAATATTATTAACATGTTTAAACCTGAAAATTATAAAATTAATTTAGTAAATCAATTCAGGAAAGTCGAGGCCTAGCGTCAAAAATCCCCGACCATAGACAAGTGGTACAACGAATAATGAAACACAACAATTTAGAATTGTCGCTTTTCCTTGAACAGTTATTTATTGAACACTGTTTTAAAATATATTTTTTTAAGATTTACATAGAACAAATCGTGTAAAAATGAAATAGCAGAAAACATGCAGATGATTATAGTTTTTAATCATGACATGAGTAGGAAATTATGAAACTGAATTCTACCTAAGATTGGCTAAGATTCGTGTTGTCTTCATTTTTATTTAATACAGTAATCTCCATTTTAACACGGTACTCATTAACTCATTTTCATATTACGCGATTTCAGTCCCTCATTTAACACGGGTGAATACCCGCACAGACAGACATATAACGTGTGAAATTCCCGCATTATCTAAGGATTCCCTTAGATAATGCGGGAATTCGTGCTGTCAAATTCATAATAATTTATAGTTATTTAATAAGTTCACAATTAATTCGCACATTGTTATAACCTTTGCACATTGTGTGAATTGTGTTGTTATAAAATTAAATTAATTTATTAAATTTGTGTTCGTAGTTTTTGAATTGTAAAAACATTGGTTATATGTATTGTATTATATTTCTATATAACGCGTTATATGGGTTCATACAAGCACGTTATGCGAGAATACTCCTACAACGCATTTCCTATACCGCGGAACTAATCTACCTTGCTATAGGATTACTGTATATACTGTTACGCCGGTAAGAATAAAGCCATCTATCGTCGAACGAATATCAAAGGGTCTAGTAGCACCTAGAACGCTCAAGAAGTACAACGTCATATATTGTCAGATACCGGAAACACAATACTAGAGATGTGAGGAATATTCTCGATAATTCTAGGGATGAGGTGTCGGTTATAAAAGCGTTGTAGAGATGGCACGCAGTCAGTCAATAATCGGAACTACTCGAAACGAAACAGCGAACGGATCACCTGAAGCAAAGCGGAAGAAGCGAATTGAGAATTTGAAGTGTTTGTGAAGTGTTTAAGTGTTGAATACCGTTTTTAATTCATACTTCGGTGGAATTTTATTTATCCCGAACTCCAACGCGTAACAATACATAGTAGACAACAGCGTCGTAATAAATTGCCTCTTCGGCTTGTTGTCGTAACTTTTGTTGCGAAATTCTAAGAACACAATCGATTAATTTTCAGGGTGCCAGTCTCCTTGGTTTCATATGTATTCAATTCTCAAATTTGAAAACGTTATCAAAAGGCTCATATTTCGGCTGGATATCGATGATAGCGTTCTGGTTCACGGGCATCCTCCTCGGACTGTATCTGTTCCACATCGTCGAGAAGTTCTACAAGATCCCCTGGCTGAAGATGGAGTTTCTGTTCTGTGCCTTATGGACGCTGCTGTATTTGATCGCGTCAATATTGGCGACTACGGTCTACGATAATCCACATTCTGCCGCCGCTGTGAGTATTAAGCTTTATTGTTATTTCTTTTTCGGTCAGAATAGCGCACAGTAGATAGCTGTCACGCATGGTGAAGCTCCGGTCATCATTCTCGTCGAACCTGTCGTTTGCGACGAAAGGCTCGGCGAGTAAATTAACCCATAGACACAGCCCACTGAGTTTCTCGCCGGAACTTCTCAGTGGGTCGCGTTTCCGATCCGGTGGTAGATTGAGCCCCGTGAGCTCACTTACTCGCCTGGTGACGCTGAAATGGTCTCTCAAGACCATCAGCTTAGGTAGGGAAAAAAGAAGGTGAAGCCGTACTCTTTGTTCCCTGCGAAACAAGGACTTTATTTTAAAGCTCGCGTGCATATGATAAATGAGCACGTATAACCATTGTTTAAAAGAATAAAGTTTATACTGTAGGACGAGAAGGCGCTAAAACATGTTTAATGATATTTCCAGTTCTTCGGTTTCGTCGCGACCGTAGCGTACGGACTGGACGCGTTCCTGAAGTGGCGCGGCGTGCGCGGCGGCGGCCTGGCGCAGGGCACGCGCGTCGTCTCCAAGCAGACCACCTCCGTGGAGGCGCCGCCGCCCCGGGAGGCCTACTAGTCCACTTGCTTTACATATCCCAGAAATTTATGAAAATAACCTTAAGTTCAACAGTATGTATTCACTATTTGAAACTGCACACTCACATATCGTAAGCTTTCGAATGTTATGTACTTAAAGCTCGCAGTAAGTTACTGTTAGGGCATGTAAGACTTAGTCACAAGTTTATCACAATCTAATTGTCGAGTTTTAAATTATTTTAATTATTCACTTTGACATTTGAACCCATCAAAATGTTATCGGTCGCAGCGCTTGCGGCAGATACCGACGCGCGACGGGAGGATCGTATTACGTGTAGTTACGCATTCGCGCGTTGAAGTCTGACGGGTGCAGCCAAAATACAATACTGTTGAGACATCTGCTGTTGAAAGCTTAACGTGACGCATATATACCATTAGTCATTCGAAAACAGAGCAAACTACTTAATAGGGGTGGGGGGCTGACCCGCCGGGGGGCAGGGGGCGGGGGGCGGTGGCAGCCGGCGCCGGCCCTGCTTGTTGCGACCTCATGCATTTCGTAAACTAGGATTTGTATAAAGTTGTCTCGAGCGTCGTACATGACGAACCCACGCGGACCGACACATGCAACAAACTAACTTTATCTATCTATCATTCTAACGGACCCATCGAAATTAAATTTATACTCTCTACTGTACTATTTATAATTCCACTACACTACACACAAATCAAACGTTTGTTTGTTTTTGTTACATTTTTATTGAATTTTAAACATAATATACTGTGGTTTTGACATACTAAAACATGATTCTAACAACGAATTTCGCTTTAACTGTATCGTCACGAACATTTTGTCTCTGTCGCTCGTCGCTCTCGGCACGAGAGAGAGAGAAACAGCTGAATGTACGTTTGTTTGTTTGAGCGTTATTTTTAAGTAAGGTCAACAAAACAACTCTGTGTACCTGCGGTTTTATATTAACATGTTTCGCTTAGTTTTTAAGAATATTATTTTTGTTACTTCATAATGTCTTCATAGTGAGTTAAGCGTACGTGTTAAACTTTAAATGAATAGTGAAGTAAGTTTTAAAATAAACATGGCCTTATTAGATAATACACTTTGTCTGCGGTGCTGTTGTCCATTGTATTATTACTCGTTCGAGATTTGGAGCGAGGTCAGTCAGTATTTTTTATATTTTATGGTTTAAAAGCAGGCTCGCCGTACCGTTTGTTGATAAATAAAATCGCGTACCCTAATTAAATACCGTAGATTGGCGGGAATCAGGACTTTTTCCAAATCCAACACAAATTTTCAATGGTTTTTCTTACCAATAAAATTGAAATTAAAATGGTTCCGGGGGCATAAATTTTTATATACGATGCGTTATTATACATAGTTCATTACAAAATATACACAAAAATTGCAAAAAAAACTAGCTTGACCCGATTCACCTTGGCTTTCGGGTGAATCTGGTCACGTATGGGGACAATAGAATTTTTCGATAGGGCTACTATTTAGTTGTTAGCTAGGTAATTAACTTTTTAATATCTTTAATGAGTTACAAAACTTTGATGACTAAGTTAAACTATTTAATATTCGTAAACACTAAATAATAGTCATTTTTAGTTCAACAAAGTTAAATCTAACAGCTCAACAAAAGTATTGTGACATCCCAGATTTGTCCCTATTCTAGCTCTAGTCTCTATTCCCCCCAATCAACTATATTTGACGTTTTGAATTAAAATAAATATGTATATATAAGCGTCAACACCGCCAGCCGAGCTGTGCTCTCTGTAGAACGTAAAACCACATTGACATTTATAAAATTGTACTATTTATTCATTAATCACTTTTATACTGTAATCTTTTAAAATTATTATATATTTTTTAATTGTTAATATTTGTTAAGTTTTGTACTAAAATACATAATAATATATTTTTACTAACGAGTTGTTAACGATATTAGCGCCGCACCGAGCGCCCGCAAGATTCAAAAGATATGGATAATAATTATAATCTAATCAGAGATTGCAATTGATTAATTTCATAAATATTATAAGGCTGTTATTTCAACGAAACAATCTAACAGTGTGTATAATTACCGTTTTGTTTTGTTGTTTGAATATTAACATTGACTTTGGTCGAAAATTAATTGCATTCATTTGCATTTGATGAAGAATTTTATATCTATTACTTACACGGTTTTAAAAACAATTTTTAAAAGTTTTGCTACTTCGGTGAGTGAACGTTCTGCTCTCCCGGGGTGATTAATGCACAATTCAAATCGTGTTTAGGCATTTTAATCAAGTTTTTATCTAAATGTTTTTTTTTTGTTTAATTGAATTTAATCATTTTATTATTATGAATTTTATAATATTTTAATAAAACGTTTGTATTGTAAGTGTTATTTATTGATGACCTACGCACGTACCTGACACACCACCACGAATGATTTACGATGAAGAAATAACATCGTCTATTGCCTCTGTGAGTCCGCGCGGGTAGGTACCACCACCCTGCCTATTTCTGCCGTGAAGCAGTAATGCGTTTCGGTTTGAAGGGTGGGGCAGCCGTTGTGCTGTTAAACCGATACTCAGACTTAGCTGTAAGGCCTAAGATGATGATGATGATGGTAGCTTCTGGTAGTTTAAACTTTAGTAGCGGAATATATGAAAATCAAAGAAAAGTATAATTTAGATATTTATTTTTAATAAAATATGGAAAGGTAAAATGTAAAGTATAGTAAATGCGTTAGAGGGCGCGCGCCGGGCGGCACCGTGTGACGTCACGGCGTGTCCTACAGCTTCAACTTCTTGATGTCTTCTATCTTGAAGTCCGTCCTGCAACGTGATGGTAGGTCATCACACGACACGGGGCCGCACCCCTCCGGGCTATAGGCTGTCGTGTTCACTCTACTGAATTAATAACTTTGTGACGTCACCACTTTGTTACGTCACTCTCGTGTTTTTTTGTAAGAAAAAAGTCTTTGTATGTAAATATTTCGTGCGCGTTCTTTGTCCGCAATGAACTTCTGAACTATTATAACGATCCTAATGAAAGTTCGCACACAGTTGGCAGCCGAGTCCGATTTGAGAGATACTAAGGGAGATTTTTATCTATGATAAAAAAAACATGTGTGCAATTCACACGTGGTAGAAGTGAAACCTTCCAAAATTAAAATACAATTATCCTAAACGTCTTAAGTATATGTAAAATTTTGTCATTAGTAAATAATTGTAAGGTAGCGCCCTCTGTGAATTGATATTTTAATTTCACGTATAATCCTAAATTAAAATTCACTACAAGAGCTTTCATACACACGTTAGTATTAAAAAATCTCACAGATGGCGCTGTATTAAATAGTATGTATATTTCTGTCTCATTCTTTGCTGGCTTCATCCTACACATTTTTGTATTTGTGTCTCTTACCTGTCGTTTTTTCCGTTGCATCCGGTTTGAAATCACAACGATTCTAAAGAAGTTTTCACTTCAAAAAACAACATGTGTGCAATTCACACGTGGTAGAAGTGAAACCTTCCAAAATTAAAATACAATTATCCTAAACGTCTTAAGTATATGTAAAATTTTGTCATTAGTAAATAATTGTAAGGTAGCGCCCTCTGTGAATTGATATTTTAATTTCACGTATAATCCTAAATTAAAATTCACTACAAGAGCTTTCATACACACGTTAGTATTAAAAAATCTCACAGATGGCGCTGTATTAAATAGTATGTATATTTCTGTCTCAATCTTTGCTGGCTTCATCCTACACATTTTTGTATTTGTGTCTCTTACCTGTCGTTTTTTCCGTTGCATCCGGTTTGAAATCACAACGATTCTAAAGAAGTTTTCACTTCAAAAAGTTAATTGATGATTATGGACTTTGCTAAAATAGCAACTTAGTATTTCTTGGTTTTATATAGTACTACTGAAGACGTAGCGTTACAGTTGAATAGCGTGCGCACCTCCGGGCGAGGATGTCCCGCACGCGCGCGGGCGGTAGGCGCGGCGACCGCAACACGTCCGCGGCGTGCTGCGGCCGCTCCAGCGCCAGCAGCGACGCCGCCTGCGCCAGCCGCGCCGCGCGCTCCCTCGCGCCGCCGCCGCCCGCCCGCCCCGCCGCGCGCCGGCACCGCCGCTCCGCCGCCAGCCCGCCCTCCTGCGCACACTCGCACCTACACCGCCGCCCTTGCAACGGGGCCGCGGCGATCATGTTTCATGATGATGGTAAAATTATTTGTTTGGAGTTAGAGGGTGTTATTCAGGTTAAGTTGTTTTGACAAAGCGACGCGACACGAAAACCCTCTTATCGTGGCAACACAAAATTGAAACATGTCTTGTCGGATCCCCCAGATTCACCCTCGGTGCTTTTAGAACCCTCAAGCACCGGCCACCGCCCTCGTCTAATTCGACGAGCGAACTAACCCATAGACACAACTTACTTAATTTCTCGCCGGATCTTCTCAGTGGGTTGCGATACCGATCCGGTGGTAGATTCTGCTCTTGCTAGGGCTAATGTTGGCACGTTCTTTTAGGTGGAGTCCGTGAGCTCATCTACCAGTCGCAGCGTAGTTGGAATAGTTCCTTAGGCTTCCAGCGAATAGGTGTAGGAAAGGAAGATCAGGTTTTTTTTCGGTGTGATACGTCGTCGACATGTTGTTTCGAGTAAACTAAGTAGTTATTAGCGACTGACCCTGTCGTAGTGGTGGTGCAGGATGCGCGCCTCGGCCCGCGTGGCCACGTCCGTGACGACGGCCAGCAGCAGCGCGTCCACCGTGTGCTGCGGCAGGTGCTGGCGAGCGCACTCCGAGAACTGTTCCAGGGCTTGCGGGAACGCGTCCGCATCATCCTCTAACTCTTCTGACAATATCAAATTTCAATTTAATCTAAAACGATCCAGTGGGTATTAACTAAACATACCATAACGAGTCAAATTACCCATTTTGAACTTTTGCATTGAAAATGCACGTATCATCTTATTGATTTTGCAAATTTGACTTCATAACTTTTTCTTATCAATTAATCCACAGTTATTAAGCTATTGCATAGCTTCTATCGCGGGCCTTGAGCGCGGCGACTGAATCAAGAAATTCCGTAACGAAAATAACCGGACACCCCCACTACGCCTACCATATAGCTCGCGTTCAACACATTCACACGTTGCGCTGGTGTAGTGTTTGTGAATAAGCGCACGACGTGACGTCGCACTGCATGAGCATCATGAAAAGTCTGCCCATCTCTCTCTCACGCGGTCTAGCTTATGAGTGTGAAGGGGACAGTTAATGTTTTGCTTTTGTTAATGTTTATAAATATAGCGTGGTCTTATTTTTATTATTGTTTTAATATTAAATTATTATTGTCTAATTGTAATTGCATAAGTTGATAAAAAATGCTTTGCAATNATCTCTCTCTCACGCGGTCTAGCTTATGAGTGTGAAGGGGACAGTTAATGTTTTGCTTTTGTTAATGTTTATAAATATAGCGTGGTCTTATTTTTATTATTGTTTTAATATTAAATTATTATTGTCTAATTGTAATTGCATAAGTTGATAAAAAATGCTTTGCAATAGCTTTACCGCGGCAGTCCCCGAGTGCCACACGTCATTTTTTATATTATTATTTTTTGTTGTGGTTTTGTTTCTTTTAAGTATACCGTTTCGTATACCGTTATTTACCCGCTATGGTACAAATAAGTACCAGTAAGTGTTGGTATGATTAGTGTTAATGTCCATTGCGGTGCGTCTGGAAGGACGAGCGTCTGCTTCTACTGTTGTAGTTGAGGACTGCAGCGTGTCGTCCGCCAGACTCGAGCCAACACTAACAATACGTTTTGTACTAAATTGAATTTTATACGTACGTTAAATAAACAACACTAATATTCGTTTGTAAATTGTCTATTTGTTTAAAGTTAAGACAGAAAATTTATTCCATTGTTATTTGTCAACATAAATACATATGTGCGTTTGTATGTACATATGTACACGTACTTCTACGTCGTATTTTGTGTAATTTTGCCGGTTTTTGTGTAATTTTTTTTATTTTTCTTTACCAGTTATGTTGTGTCTTTCAAATGAAACTATATTGATACCTTAGAACTCATATGTCAAAGTAGATGACGGCACGTTGTAGATAACTATGGGCTTCGATTACCACTTAACGTTAAACTTAAAACACAGATGTGCAATAAAAAATAAAAAATAAATGAAGTAAGGTAGAAAGAAAAATGAAGTGTAAATATAAATGAAGCACTGAAGGCAGTGAGGTGTGCGCGCGTACCTGCGAGCGGCGCGGGCTGCACCAGCGCGTCGGCCCACAGCGCCAGCCGCGGCGCCAGCCCCGCGCGCACCGCCGCCACGCCCTGCTCCGCCGCCAGCGCCAGCGCCGCCGCCGCCGCGCCCAGCCCCGCCGCGCACGACTCCACCTGACCCACACCCACCCACGCTCTCATTCATTACTTCTATCGTGAAGGAATTACTTTGAAAAATTAACCCTATATGCAAATTTATAAATTTACAAACACGTAAATCCTCATAGTAGGGTGACTTGTAAATCGCCAGAGTAGGGACCGCCACCCCGCCCGATGTCATCGACTAGGCAGTCAATCGTTCCAGTTTGAAGGATTGAAGGAATTGTGATTTCCTTATCTCTGGGCCAGTAACCAGTATTCAGCGGATGAGTCTCCCAATAACTTAGTGCAGAGAATAAACTTGTTAAATTTAGTGGTGAGCAGAGTGCGAGGTCTGGCGGCTCCGTACACACCTTGTGCGTGTCGGTGGGGCCCCGCGCCGCGCCGCCCGCGCCCCGCACCGCCTCCTCCGCCAGGCGCGCCGCCCACTCCGCGCCCGCCTCCGCCTCCGCCAGGTGCGCCTGCGGACACACTCTGTACTCGTACTATGACCGGCGCGGACTAGTTGTAAATATGGAAAGTCAGCGCCCCGAACCCATTACGAGCTTACAGCGCACGTTCTTATTTTCAATCTTACATGTTTGTCTGTACTCGCTACATTGGTTGTCGAATGTCAAATACTCCTGGTATGTCGGGATTAAAATCGAAATGCCATATCATGTTCATGAAATACTTGGACAATAAAGTTTTAATATCATGTAATCAACAATTAAGTACTTACATACTATTACTTAATTTAATCACTTCCTGCCTTGAAGCAGTCACGCGTGAGCTCGGCAGGAAGGGTCAGGCGCTGTAGATACATTCTAAGCCTCGACTTTGTCTTATATCACGATGTCCATGGACTTAGATAATCTCTAAATATAGAACGGACGGTAAATCGCCTCCTAGAAGCTGCACGTGAGTGCGACCGACACCGGGGGCTCCTGCTCCTGGTGTTCGAGCGCCCGCGGGTCGCTTCGCCGTGCTTTACAGCCTACAGTTTTATTAGATAGATTTCAACTGAAGGGAAATTTTATTAAGAATTTCAATTAATTTGAGTTGTCGGAGTAATATCTGGTATATTATTTCGGTGAGGTATCAGTATGGTGCTACTCCTTCAACTCTTCAACCACCGGGCTCGTATATGAACTTTAAAAGCTTCATATTAAAATTGCATTGCATTATATTTCGTGTACTATTTCAGTAATGTGTTAAGTTCTGTATGTATGCAAGTATTTGAAACCGCATAGAGAAGTAGGCATCTCCGAAGCAGTGTGTAGGTGTGGCGCACTCACGAGGAACAGCAGGCGCTGCGCCTCGACGTCCTTGTTGAGCGCGTGCGCCAGGTCGGCCGTGAGGTCGAGCGCCGTGAGGTCGAGCGCGAGGCGGGGCGCGCGGGGCGCGGGCGGCGCGGGCAGCGGCAGGGGGTCGGGGGGCGCGGCCCGCAGCCGGCGCCGCAGCACCGCCGTCACGTCGCGCTCCAGCACCGCGCTCACCTCGTTCAGCACCACGCACGCGCCCTCCACGCTGCCGGTGCTGATGCTGCGTCTGCACACGGATGTGAGTCTTTAGCATTAAGGGTCACATCCAACTAGCGCTCTCAGCTGAGCCGTTCGTGCAACGCCGATTTGGAACTAAAGTCCATACCTTATAACTTTTCTGGCGATGAAAAACACGTCGTCGACCAAACTGGACGTGGTGCTTCCGGGCTGTGGAGTGGCCATCTTCAGAGCCTTGTTCACGCTTTCTTCTAGGAAGAACCTAGAAGTTCATGCAGGTGAAATTATACAGTTATTAGCATTAGCTAGAGTTATCATAGCCGAATGGTTAGGCCATAGGCAGTGTCTCGGACAAGTTACGCTGATACCGGTTTAACAATGTCGCCTTTTAAATCCTTACTTATTTTGATTTGATTTCAATTGAAGCTTTTGTTTTTTTTATTACCATCTCAAACACACGACCACAAAACTAATATTACTAATACGATTATAAGTAATGAATCAATTATTAAATTAATACTAAAATACTAGGCCAAAAGACATAAGAGTACTTCTCGAGTTCGAGGTAGTGCCCCAGGATGTCTTGTGCGGTCCGCGTGAGGTCGCACTCCGCTATGAGTTTCTCCACGGCATCCAGCGCCGCTTGCTTGGCAGCCTCGGGAAGGGAAGCGGCGTCCGCCTTGTTTGAGATACATTTTAAAGTAACCAAACTCTAATGTCGTTTGACGAGTTATTTTATTATGAACACGGCCAATCTTTCTGAGAGAGTACAAGATATTGTTATAATTTGAAACTTCGCAAAAATTGCGTGTCAATAACTGGCTTGCTGCAAATGATTATAATTATTTACAATTTCAATATATATTGTACTTAGTTACATTAATTATACATTATTAGACTAGAGCCAATAATGCTAGAACTCAAGATATGTACAGTTATAACTTTCTACCATCTGCTTGGGTAGAGTTTTGGAATACTTTGACCACAATATCAGACAGGATGACGGCAACTTGGAGAAGGTCACGGTCACTGGCAAAACAGATAATAAAAGACCATGAGGTAAAAGTCCGTCACGTTGGACTGAATTGATCCGTACTAGTCTCCACACCATAGTTCACCATGCTCTACACTTGGCGGCACATAGGAACAAATGGCGTCGAGTGGTCCACAGCAATCTCTTGTTGCGAGGAGGTGGTGACAAGAGTCGTGACCACAGCATTGAAGAAGTTGAAGCGAGGAAGACAGACTAGAGCCGAGGGGCGGGAGGACGGCATTATTGTACCACTGAGGCTTTGATCACATGTGTTGAGGCGGGCGGCGACACGTTGTGGTGTCTCCGCGAGGATGGGACTCTCGTGGAGATCAAAGAGGGATGGGTTGTTAATCGGGGTACCTGAGTCCTCCTAGTAAGGAACGCGAAGTAGAGCTGTATGGTGGAGTGCGCGAGAGCCAGCTCGGCCAGCGCGGGCTCGGCCTGCAGCGCGGAGGCGGGGCGCGCGGCCGCCCGCAGCAGCGCTCCGCTCACGCGCCGCACGCCCGCGCACACCTGCCGCACACGCGCACACTGCACTCACTACACTCACTACATTCATCTTAATGGCTCTCGGTTAAATACGGGATATGGCACCTTTTTTTCAGCTCCTACGAAGTCCCCGCACCTAGGGGGCGCGCGGGGTTTGTAGGACTGGACGGTTCGCAGATGTTGGGAGTCTACATTAAGTTAGTAAGTTTAAGTTAAGTGAGAAAAGTCATAAAACTTGTACTTTTTATTCAATCAGCGTAATTTTAACTAAGTAGTATCTACTTTTCGCCAATTATCTCCATACATTAGTCCGCTAGTGTTGTTTGCAGTGTTAGTTCCCCGCGCTCGGTCCCACTCGCGCCGGTACGCACCACATGCAACTCTCAATACATTTTTTTCTACCCGTGCTGGTAGCCTCGACGGGTTATGCCACCTTCACCGAGCGAGTAGTTGAGTTCACGGGACTCTAACCTGACGGATTTGCTAACACTAACCCTAATAAACGCAGTGCTTTACAGAATCTACCACCAAAACGGATTCGCGATCCATTGAGAAGATCCGGCGAGAAACTCAGTGGGCTAGTTTGCCGTAATAAGGTTGAAATTTGCAGAGATTAATGAGCCGTAGTACCTAGTGATAAGGTTGCGTTTTTGTCGTATTCATTGTTTGAAAAGAGTTGAAGGAATTTGTTATTATCTACCTTGTTCTGATGCATTACACCTGAATAAACGCCCTCACGGTACTTTTGCTGTATATAAGTTCAGGGTTGTCATCGTACAGTTGAAACAATTATTCGTTTTTGTATGAACTTATAGGTAATTACGACTAAAATTTTTAACGTGATCTACATTGTTGATATTAGTGCCATTTTTTTATTTGATGTAGGTACCTATTGAAGGTCAACTTGTATATAGGCGGAAGCCCCTTAACGCTGGACACTCTTAGCATAGATATTTTAATATTTGATTGATCAATTAAGATAAATATAAATTAAAGTATACCCTGACCCACGCTTTAAAATAGTTGTGAATTATTTGGAGAGGACAAGTATCATGTTTGGTGCGCATCACGTCATCATGCGATTTCTTGATTTTTTTCCCTTCACCATAAAAAGTGTATATAATGAAGTGAAGGTGAGACGGACCGGCGGCTGCAGGGCGGCGAGCGCGGCGGGCAGCAGGCCGGGCGCGGCGAGGGCGGCGAGGGCGGCGGCGCGCGCGGCGGCGGCGGCGGCGGCCTCCAGCACGCGCGTGATGGCGTCGGCGAACACGGCACCCTCGCCCTCCGCCACCACGCTCAGCCGACGGATCTCCACCCCCAACTGCCAGTGTTTGTTTTCTTCCTACCTATCTTGATAGCCTTGAGAGGCTATTTCAGCTTTTTCTTGACGTGTAGGTGAGCTCACAGGGCTCAAACCAGTGTTGCTAACACTGGTCCAAGCAAGAGCCGTGCTTCGCAGAATCTACCACCGGTTCGGAAACGCGACCCACTGAGAAGATCCGGCGAGAAACTCAGTGGGCTGTGTGTATGGGTTAATTTACTTTTCGGTACTTTTCGGTTCGGCGAGGACGGTGACCGGTACTTGTGGTACCTAAAAGCATCGTTAATGGATCGGGAGGATCCGTATGGCGTGTTTAGGGCAACGTCGACTGTTTACCATTCGGTCCACAGGATCGGGTATGAACTGTCAGTACCGAGCACTACTACTGCGCGAGTTGAATACGTACATGATTCATAGCAGGTTTGTTTGATCACCTGCTTGTATCTGCAGCGAGGCAGTAGGCCGCAGCCTCGTCATGTCTATGGGCTCCCGTAGCTGCTTCACATTATTGAGGGGTAATGTGTGCCTTATATTCTCGATGAAATATGTAGCTCGCAGTACAACACCAATGAAGCAGGTTCTAAGCCGGCAGTACCTTGGTGGCCAGGTACTTGGCCAGCAGCCGGACTCCTTCCTCGGCGCGTCCGATCTGAGGAAACAACTTGAAAAGCTTGTCTACGTTCTCGTCATCGTTTTTCTGAGCGGCATCTTCAAACCTGTAACATCAACAATTGCAAAACATTCTTACATCAGTTTCGATTCTTTGAAATTGAATAGTCAAGTATTAGGGATGATTCACGCTACACTGTGTCGCGATTCATATTACACCAGGCTGTTTGGGTGTATTCTTTGCACGGCCGTGTCTGTGTTATGTAGTTTTTGTCAGCTAGTGATTTCATCTGTCGATAGACTTGACATTAAGTAAATATGCAATTTTCACATTTTGAATTGGCAGCTGTTTCAATTGCCATCGATGATGAAGTATTGGAAAAACGAAGCGAAACTACTAAAAAAAGATGGGGTGTACACCCAATCTGAAGAAAGCGAGAAGCAGAAAGAGAATTTGCTTTACTTTACAAAGAATGAATAGAGGACGAAAGCAAGTTTTCTCAATGTCCATTTTGCTGTTGAGCTGTTCACCTTACTAAGATTTGACGTTGACTGCTCTGCGGGGGCCCGGGCGCATATGTTCATGTTAGAACGTGTCGGGGCCGGACCGTGCCCGAGCCCGGAAACAATACCCACCGACATTTGAACGCCGTGCCTTGGCAGAGTCCCGACGGCGCATGGCCGGCGCACGGCCGAGCCACTGTCAGGCATGAATCACTTCATACAAAAAGTATACCATAGTGTTTGGCCGTGCTCCGGCCTTTACCGGCATTTTCCGGTCGCGACACGGTATAGCGTGAATCATTCTTTATCTCTCAGTAGATGTTTGTGGTGTAATGGTGTACCTAGACCATCCCGTGTGCCCGTGTCCCGTGTGATACGGGTGACTAAAAATCTCTTATCCAGTACTACTAAAAATTTATTGTTATAACAGAAACTGACAAATACGTTCATCCTTCGTAAGTTCATAAGCCTTGCTGATTAATTTGTCTTATCAACATCACTACCAAACAAAATATATCTGCAGCCAGACCTACCCTCACACTTCGCAAAGATGCGCGGTCCTGCCTGCACACTTAATCCAATTGTGTGCCACATATCGTTGAGGTCTGATTTAGACAAAATCTTAGTGACCATTGGTATTTTACCTACGAACGATATGTTCTCTGAGTGTGTTGGCGGCGCGCGTCATTGCGTCCCGTGGGTCGGCGGCTCCGCGAGCCCGCGCTGCCGCTACTGAACCTGGATCCATGCTTAGGAATCTCGACACGTGTCCAGCACCTACAAAAAGGAAGAGAATTGTAACCTAAAGATTAGGATCAGATCCGTAATTTATAAAAAATATTCTAAGAGTAAAGTTTACCGGTCTCATAATCATTAGCTTTTATGGCAGCTTCAACTCCTGCGCTGCATAGCTGCAGATCAATAAGATCATGCACTCTCCTCTGACATTCTGCCACTCTAGACTGTCAAATTGAATAGAGTATTTATTTACTAGAAATATCTCACATTTTAGTGACAAAGCGTTTTGAAAACACTTTTGAATGCTACAAGTAATTACTTACTCTTGTGTATTATCTGAAATTTTGAAATCTACTTTAGATATAAGCTAATTCTAAAAGTATCTAATGATTGCCTAGCAAAAACTTTTGAAAAGCTGTAATGACAATAACAAGACCTGTAGATTCTAGAAAGATGATTATTTTGGAGTTAAAGGTATTCTTTGGATTGAGAACTACACAATTTAAAGTTTTTTGTGTATGAAAAAATTATGACAGTTATTAACAGTTTCAAATGTACAGAAATGAAAAAAAAGGAATGATAAATGTGGAAAATGTCAAAGATCACACAGATAACTTCTCGTACGAATTTGAATAGGGTCTCAGAATCTGTAATTTAAAAGTAAAAAATTTAAAGTAAAAAATTTAAAAGTAAATAATTGTCTTACTCTAGCCAAATCGAGTTGTCTGACTTTAGCACTGACATCTCTGGCTAATTCTGCAGTTCTGTCCACCATGTCTGCAGCAACTTGTGCATCAGCTTTCACTTCACTGAGCTTAGTGTAAGCTTGACTGGCTGTGCGGAGCTTGTCTTCTAGCATGCAAGCACGCGATAGCACTCCAGATAATGCTTCATCTACTTCTGACTGTTGTTGTCATTAAGTTAATTAAAATTTTAATATCTTTGAATATTCACCAGATAATAAAAAGGGTTTTACTGTATGAAGGTTCTTGAATTTGTTGGTTAATGATAAACAACTTTCTTCTCCCTCATCTTTTTTTTTGGCTTACTACTGGTAGTCTAATGGTATATTCCAGCTGCACTATGGCTGATAGGTAAGCTCACGGGTTCAACCTGAGAGAGCTTGTTAAAACTGGTTCTGGTAAGAAGAGTTCTTCACAGAATCTACCACTGGATTGGAAGAGGATCCGACGAGAAACTCAGTGGGTTAGTCTTTTATATTTATATTGATAGTATTAATAGTAAGATATTAATTCTATGTTTGGACGAAAGTAATTAGTAAGGCTCGTACGATCATCAACCAATAGCGTAAGGCCTTAATTGCGGTTTGTGGTTTGTAAGAGCACCCTTTACCTTTATTCATTTCTTTCACAACGTTCGTAATGGAAACGTTCAAGAATAGTGTTCATTGAAAACTAAATTACTTACTTCTTCTTTTTCAACTTCGCTTAACGCTTTTTGTAAGCCCTCTTCTGTTGATACATCATATTTCTCAAGTAATAAACTAAGCGACATGTTCCTGAAAGCTACACAATATTTCTATATTTATATTTGGAATTTTAAATAATGTACGAAAATTCTCAATTTTTTTCAACCCTAGAAACAAGAAATAGGAAATAAACAAGCACCACAAGTACAGATTTTTTTGTCAACGTCAAAACACGAAATCAGCTGATTTTGACATGGTAGATCTCCATTACCTATCTACATAGTTTTTTAGCCTCGAATCCAAACTAAAATTAATTGCGAATGTTGTTTTTTTTATACATGTAGTAGTAAGCAAGATAGTTTGACTTGTTTTAAATGAATGTTGTTAGGTTATCGGAAATAGGTCTTAGCGTTTATTTTATATATTTTCCGAACGCTTAACCATAGACAAAAATAGAAAAAATACCTTCTACAAATTTGATCAATATATTCTATATTATTGTATATAATCTATGGACCACAGTTTACAAAAGTGTTATGTCTGATTAAACCTTCCCTAGTTTATAAACATTTGAAACATTAAATCGTGATATCCATGTTCTGTTAAACGGTTAACATTCCACATTGTGACTTGTTGTAAATATTTCGTTTTCCTTTGGGGACGTTTGTTCGTGGGGTGGAACAAAATCGTCAAAGGTGAGTACGGGTGATGGCTGTGTGTGGACATTGCATATATTATTCGTTGGGAAATATTATTCAGGTGGATTTCGTTTTGAGTGTATGATCGTTTTCAGATTGACTCCGTGTGGGGTTGGGCTTCGCCCCCGCTGCGTTTGCAGCTGGGTAACGCACGCGGCCACAAAAGGTGAGTGAAACTTCAAATGTTCGAAAATACAAATTAGTTCAAGAAACACCCATAAATTACAGTGCAATTAATCCTAATTACATATCGTTACTTTTTTTCATTACCCATATAGCTAACTTTTAAACAAAATTTATTTAGTCCATGGAAACAGCATTTTATCCCTGTAGCGGTAGTGTGATTTTTCTTTGCTTTATATTGATAAAAACATGATTTTGATAGTAATGTTTTGATTATATTAAATGTGACAGTTGTATTTCTTAACTCATGTTCTAATAAATTATGGATAACCGTGTTTTGATGGTTTGTTGTAAAGCTATTGAAAACATTGTTTTTAAATTATGGCAAATTCTTAATTAATGCAAGATATGAACAATTCAATTATAAAATTGTTTTTTTCCTATTAATAATTTAATCTAATCTATAATCTAAAATTAAATTATTGAATTTTTTACTCTCACAATGCTTAGGTACCATCATCACTCATAATATTAGGACCTGTCCCTTACTTGATCTTAAACCTACTAGACAATAGTATGGCGAGATTTAGCAGTTGAGTATTGGGTGATAGGTATTATGTTATAACTAGTATTGATGGCAAAATATGAAAGTGATATTAGGAAGCTTTGATGGAACTGACTTAGAGGGTCAGAATTGGGGACTTAGAAATATATAGCTTTAGAGTAAACAAGCTCCCAGCCCATCTCTTTAGGAGTCAGACACTACATATATCAGAAAATGAATGATTTAAGATTACTTTGTCAGTTAGAAGGAGTGTTGGCTATTCCACCCTTATACCAGAACACATGACAGCTTTGTAGCAGAAATTAGTGGAATAGGTGGTGTGGGGTTAACACAAATGTGTCCTGTGTCAATAAAAAAGTGAATTTTACAAATGAAGAATGTATGTTTCTTATCAAAGTAAAATATGTCAATGTCACATTCAACTAGTCTGTAACACATGTTTATTGATTTAGTGATTATTTCTCATAGTCTTTTTTTTTGGTTTAAGTGTAACTGTATTTAGGCAGATGAGCTCAAGGAGGACTTCATATTAAGGGCTCATTAGATCCCCTAGACATTAATATATACAGCCACCTCTCTTGAGACATGAACTTGAGCTCACAATCTTCTCTAGTGTTTGAACTTCAGCGTGACTTGATAAGGTGTGTCATATATATTATGATACAACCATATGTTTTGGCCAGGCAATGACAAGCATGATGTGATTGCTAATTATCGATAGTATTCAGTGTTGGCAATACTTAAAAAAATGTATCCAGATGGGTCTCTGAGTTATAAAAATATCAATAGTCATCGTGCATTGTCAAACAAAATAAAGATGAGTCAATCATACTTTGTATCCTGTTTCCTGATCCATTACAAACTATACTCAACAATCCAACATTCAACACATGATTGAATTAAAATCTAGGATTTTCTTGGTGTGCAGTATTATGTGTTTATTGCTTGATAATATTCTGCCCTTAAGTCTTCCATGTTCATAATCTAAATTTACCTGGTTATCCTTTCCTTGTAATTATTTTGTTTGGCCTAAAGATATAATTTCCACTTTTAATGATTTCAATGGTTATAATTTAATCTAGAATCTCATTTTATTAAAATAATAAATAGGTATATCTAATAATAATATATATCTCAACATAACACAGTAAGTATATTGATATAGTGATTCTAAGCCAGCAGTATTTGGACTGAACAGATCTTGAGCTATGCTGTTCATCGGGTCTATGGAATACAAAAACATTATTAGAGATAAAAAATAATATTTCATGGGAATTACCCAAAATATCAATATTATAGGAAAGAAATTCCACAATTAAGCTAAAGGCTAGAATTAAATTCTCCATAAGTAAACACAAAACAAATTAGAATCACTCTGATCTGTATGCTACATTAGCCTTGATGTAAGTTTACTAATTGTTCAGACAAGGTCTTGTACAATTTTATTTGATTGTGTAATACTTTTGTATGTAAAATGAATCGTTTTTATTTTTTCTGGAGTTTATAAAGTGGAAAAATATTGAGATATTAGTAAATTTACATCTTCAGTTAAAAATTATCAATATATTTCATGTATACATGAAGAACATTGACATTATAGATTTTAATATAATTGTCTCAGTAATCTAATTTTTCACCGAATCTAGATATTCTGTTTTAACCCAGGATGGGTGAGGGCGGATCCCCAGGTGGCGCGCGGCTGTCCCACACCTCGGAGAAACATCCGCGCGCCATACTCGGCGAACTCTCCGCACTGCGACGTCATCGTGAGCTATGCGATGTCGTGCTCAACGTTGCTAACAGGAAACTCTTTGCTCACAGGTTTGTTTCACACATGTACCTAAAAAGATTTAGTTTGAATGCTTGGTGCCTGAATATTAGCAAAGTAACATAACCTTTGCATTAGCGCCTTAAGCTCTAACACTAGGAGCAGGCTTAGAGATTCTGGTAACAGTGCTCGTCGAACTCTGCAAAGATTTCGACGTGTAACCTAACCTAAACATCCGTCCGCTGAGTTACTCGCCGAATATTCTCAGCGGGTCGCGATTTCGATCCGGCAGTAGATTCATTCGCGTAGCAGCTACTCTTGAGGTGTTAGATCTTCCTTGGAGGTTCTCGGGTATCTGTTAGCCAATCCCACTCCTCCTGGTTGAGACCTTGCTGGCCCAACTGTCTTGGTGAAACTGCAAAGGTCACCAGTAATCCCTCTAACATAAAAAAGCGCACTTTTATCGTTTCCTAGATGTCTGTTAGTTCGTACCTCGTCTACTGCTAATCGCCTCTATAGCGAATCTTGTTGTTTCTGTAGTGCTCCGTAGGTGGCTACTAAATTAAGAAATGAATGTTGCTACAGAACCTATTTAATTTGACAATATCTGATAAAACGATATCAGAACTTGCGAGAAGCCATAGAATCGATTCTCATATCCTTGAAAAATGCCTGGGAACAGAGTAATCCTATCAGCATGCAGCCCGTACTTCCGAGCGATGTTCACTGGGGAACTGGCCGAGTCTCGCGCCACCGAAGTCACGATCCGGGACGTGGACGAGCAGGCCATGGAGCAGCTCGTGGAGTTCTGCTACACCGCGCACATCGTCGTCGAGGAGAGTAACGTGCAGGTACTACACGATGTGCCTATAGTAGGTAGCAGCACGTAGCAGGTGGTGTCTTGTTTGTTGTTTATATTTTATTGCTTTATTCCTTAGCTTTGTGGACGAGCTCACAGCCCACCTGGTGTTAAGTGGTCACTGGAGCCCATAGACATCTAGAACGTAAATGCGCCACCCACCTTGAGATATAAGTTCTAAAGTCTCAAGTATAGTTACAACGGCTGCCCCACCCTTCAAACCGAAACGCATTAATGTTTCACGGCAGAAATAGGCAGGGTGGTGGTATCTACCCGCGCAGGCTCACAAGAGGACCACCAGTAAAAAAGTTTGTATAAAAGTTTAGACTATTACCAAGTTCAATCCTTGGGTTTTTCAGGAGCACCTTTTGTGTGTTGCTTTCACTGTGCGTCGACCTTTAGCGACATACTGATGTCGGTAATGAAAGGGCGGGCTTGTCAATTGTAAGCCATACAGGTTGGCATTGAATTTGGAAAGTAATATGGTCTTCATCGCTCAGGCCCTGCTCCCGGCTGCGTGCCTGCTGCAGCTGCAAGAGATCCAGGACGTGTGCTGCGAGTTCCTCAAGCGTCAGCTGGACTGCTCCAACTGCCTCGGCATCAGAGCCTTCGCCGACACCCACTCGTGTCGGGAACTGCTCCGGATCGCCGATAAATTCACACAACAGAACTTCCCAGAGGTGCGCTCTATTGTCTTTAAGCAGATGTATCTCTCTAACATCCGATGACAGCTGCTCTTCCAGCAAAGGGCTCCTGGACTCCAGTCTATAGAAATTCGTTTCCTATGAAACTTTCAAGTGATGACAATCAATATTACCTTAATATTAAACATAAATTATATAAATGTTTGTTGTCCATCTAAAAGGTCAATTAGTTAGTGACACTGACTATAGTATATTTCCATGCGATTTGCATTCAATACCCGATTGTACTCAATGCTTCTGTGAAAGATGGGTTGTATTCTCGATGTACTTTTTTGTTCTATAAGTTTATTTATTTATTTATTTATTTATTTGGGAAACAAACAGTACAATACAAAACATACAATATTTAAAAAAAAAATAGCTAAAACAATAACCAAATATGTTTCCACAATCAAAATCACATATAAGTAGACAGTGAACAAGAAGAGAAATTTAGAAATTCAAATTACAAAAAAACAAAAGCAACACAATACGCATTATACATTAACTCACACTATAAAACTACAACACTTATCGGGCCAAATCACCCTATAAACACTCCAAAACAGCTTTTCTATATGCTACAAGTGACAAGTAAAAGATATCAGCATTAGAGAACTTAGCATCATACAACCTACAAGATCTACGGACAAAAGAGTTAGAAGCATATTTCGTTCGACCCGTGGACATGTGGAAGGTCTGTTTAGAACGCGCGGAAATACGACTACATTTAAATGAAATTTTGGAAAGAAGATAGCTAGAATCAATCTCGTTATTTATTATTTTATATAAAAACATTTGATCCCTCAGTAGCCTGCGATCGACTAGAGAGACAAATTCTGTCGGTTCTGGAGAGTTAAAGCGACGACAATGGTATAAAAGATGCTTAAAAAACTTTTTTTGGACTCTTTCTAGTCGCTGAATATAAATATTATATTGGGGGTTCCATGTGACGGAGCCATATTCCAATATAGACCGTACAAAACTGTTGTACAACAGAATCAAAGTAGATGGTCTTTTAAAGTCTTTACCAACTCTAAGTATGAAGCCTAACATTCGAAAAGCCTTATTTACTATTTCATTAACATGAAAATCAAAAATCAAACTGGAATCCAAATAAATACCCAAATCACGAACAACTGTGGTGCGTACCAAAGTTTGACCATTAATAGAATAGTCATACAAGATATTCGATCTTCCACGTGAGAATGTTATAATAGTACACTTATTAGTATTCACTGTGAGTAAGTTATTTTGACAGTAAACAAATAAGTTGTTCAAATCATCCTGTAATTCCAAACAGTCGTTTAAGGACTTTATAACTTTATATACTTCTATATAGTTCTATATAGTCTTATATCTATATAACTTCTATATAGTCTACTACTTATATAGTTTCCAGCAAACATAACACAGAGGGAGTATAGTTTGACATAGGAGCTTGAGGGCCCTTCAATGTAGAACACTAATTTATTAAATTATGATAGCTTTGTAATTGTAATTAAAAAGAAGCGAATTACTGACAGGGTTCAATGCCACTGTTAATATGTCGAATGCATCTGTTTGATAAAAAGCTACAATATGTGCCACCCATACAACAGTATGGTGACCTCGGAATAGTTCTCCGTCAGGAACAGAACTACTATTATATCAATTATAAAATATATAAATACTTCTGATATCGAATAGTATAGTTACTGCACTAGCTAGTTACAAACAACAGAAAGATGCCATTGCACTGGATTTTTGTCGGCAGGTGATGGAGAGTGAAGAGTTCCTACTGCTGCCCGCCTCGCAGCTGATCGACATCGTGTCCTCGGACGAGCTGAACGTTCGCTCGGAGGAGCAGACCTTCCAGGCCGTCATGTCCTGGGTCAAGTACAACGTGGCCGAGCGGCGGCAGCACCTGGCGCAGGTGCTCCAACATGTCCGACTGCCGCTGCTGAGTCCCAAGTTCCTGGTGGGCACAGTCTCCTCGGAGCTGCTGATCCGCTCCGACGACGCCTGCCGCGACCTGCTGGACGAGGCCAAGAACTACCTGCTGCTCCCGCAGGAGCGTCCGCTCATGCAGGGACCTAGGACCCGGCCCAGGAAGCCTACCAGGCGAGGTACGGCCCAACGTGCCAACATCTGTATTTTAACTTAAACATCAGGAATTTGTTTTGTCTGGCGGCTATATGTACGTCTGTAGTGTGGAATCTATGAGTAGTTATTTAACTACGCCGGGAGTTACTCCGGTATCGGAAGATAACAAGCATGTATTATTTGTATGTGACATGAATTATAATTATGGGACCATTCACTATATTTATCCCAGTTATATATCAATAGAGTCCAGTATGTCTGCTCCGAAGACAGTAACAAGAAAGTATCACATAAGAAGAACTGGGATCAAAATTGTTTACCTAGTTTATTACCAGAGCTACCAGTTTTTTGAGGTTCTGCACCACCGCCCTGATGGGGGTAACAGACAAATTTTAATTAGTTTTGAATCCAGTCAAAACTACATTTAATAGAAGTTGATCACGCATGCATGACCAGGCGAGGTGCTGTTCGCGGTGGGCGGCTGGTGCTCCGGGGACGCCATCGCGTCGGTGGAGCGGTTCGACCCGCAGAGCGGCGAGTGGAAGATGGTGGCGCCCATGTCCAAGCGGCGCTGCGGCGTGGGCGTGGCCGTGCTGCACGACCTGCTGTACGCAGTGGGCGGCCACGACGGACAGAGCTACCTCAACAGCATCGAGCGGTACGACCCGCAGACCAACCAGTGGTACGTGCTCACTCCAGGACCACGACGCCACACTCTCACCCCGGACCCAGACTGAATGTCGGCCGAGAGTGTAAGGGGGTAACAACCTCGGGCCCGCGGTCAGCTCCCTACATCTGCAGACCGTCAAGGTTCACATACCCCACGTACCTTCTTGGCGCGAACAAATCGCTAGAGGTTCGATCCCTGCCCGAAAAAAAGGATATAGGGAGTCTCGAAGTGTGGTCACACTAGCAACGATGTACATATATGTATTACGTAAAAAAAAAATTCACACAAACATTCCGTCACATTTTTTGTTGCATTCATTGTTTGAAAGGAGCTGAACCTTATTATTGTCTATCTCGTTTTAACGCGTTTATAACTGAATGGACGCTCTTCTCGGTCCTTTTTAATATTAATTCAGAGCTGTCATTCAACAGTTCAAACAATTAATAAATTGGTTTTTGTATGAAACTATCAATGACTCGAATTTTTTATGTGATCTACATTGTCAATATGGAACACCCTGTACAATTACATTGACGCAGGTGCGGCGCCGTCGCGCCCACGTCGTCGTGCCGCACGTCCGTGGGCGTGGCCGTGCTGGAGGGCGCGCTGTACGCCGTGGGCGGGCAGGACGGCGTCCAGTGCCTCAACCACGTCGAACGGTACGACCCCAAGGAGAACCGCTGGACCAAGGTCGCGCCCATGACCACGCGGCGTCTGGGCGTCGCCGTGGCAGTGCTGGGTGGACATCTGTACGCCGTGGGCGGCTCCGACGGGCAGGCGCCGCTCAACACCGTGGAGCGGTACGACCCGCGGCACAACAAGTGGACGCCCGTGGCCCCCATGTCCACCAGGAGGAAGCACCTGGGCTGCGCCGTGTTCGACGGGCAGATCTACGCCGTGGGGGGCCGGGACGACTGCACCGAGCTGTCCTCCGCCGAACGATACGAGCCCAGCACGGACTCGTGGGCGCCCGTGGTGGCCATGACGTCGCGCCGGTCGGGCGTGGGGCTCGCCGTGGTCAACTCGCAGCTCTACGCCGTCGGGGGCTTCGACGGGACCGCCTACCTCAAGTCCATCGAGGTACGCACTTCCTTTACTTTCTCTGTCCTTATGATGACTTAACTAGGGAAGTTACCGAATTCTCCCTGTCCCAAGAAAATCATTTTTGTATTTCAAGGTGCCAATAAAAAAAAATTATGTGGGGGAAATATATGGAAACACACGGGCTGTGATTATAAGCAGCAACATCGACGAGAATAATTTAGTTATGTAACTAAAGAATGCAGTCGCACGAGTTGTATTATTTACAGTAATGCTTGTATGATATTCAATTACCAACGTGTCGTTGGGCGGCAGGTGTTCGACCCGGAATCGAACCAGTGGCGGCTGTGCGGCGCCATGAACTACCGGCGGCTCGGCGGCGGCGTCGGCGTCATGCGCTCGCCGCACCACGACACGCACTACATCTGGTAACGCCGCACGCTGGTCGGAACACTTCTCATCACTATCATCATCCTCCTGCCCTTCTCCCAGCCACCTGGGGTCGACGCAACATGTTTTCTCCTTCCATACTCCTCTATCATACACTATTTTTTTGCTCACTCCCCTCTTACACATATCAACTTTCACACAATCTATCCATTTTTTCTTAGGTCTACCTCTTCCTGAATATCCCTCCACATCCATAGTTAACACTCTCTTACCAACCTCAATTTTATTTCGTCTCATCACATGTCCATACCATCCCAAGGACTTCTCAACAACAGGTGCCACTTTCAGACTTCCTCTAACACATTCATTTCGTATTCTATCCATTCTCGTTACTCCACACATCCATCGCAACATTCGCATCTCTGATGCATGCAATCGCCTCCTCATCACATCCTCATCTTCATCACAACACGAAAGATTATTTATAATTATTCCCGCGGCATACGATTTTGCCAGATTTGATCTACTCGCCCATGACGTAGATAGAAGACGCACACACCGCTAGCCGTCCGCGCTGTGGTGGTGGGTCAACCACCTGTCTCCGCAATTATACAAAAATTTATGAAAACTACATAAAGCTTTATCTCAATTTCAGGAACCGAAAAGATTCAGTGGTGTAACCTGCCCCCGGCCCCGTGGCGCGCGGCTGCGGGGGACGAGCTTCGAACGAAACTTACTTTGAACTTTGATCGGTCAACAATACAGCGTCTGGTTTTCAAATATTTCGGTGTTCGACGAGTCTACTGCGGTTTATTTATTCAATACTGGTGCGCTACGTAGGCCGCGCTACGTTGACTGCGCTACGCATATCCGGCTACGTCGCGTGTGCTACGCCATCGCGCTACGTCGCAGCGCTACGTCGGGCGCGGCACTAGGTCGCAGAGAAAAGACAGCTCAAGGCTCGGATAGAGATAATTGGCTTATTTTTACTTATATATTATGTAATTTATAAGCAGTACAATTGCAGCAGTTGGGAAAAAGTAACGGAAGTGTTTGATTGAACTCGAGGTGTGTGTGTGTGTGCGTGTGTGTCGCGACGGTAGCCCTGTTTATTTGAAAATCACTTGTTCGTATCGCGAGTCTGATAGTCGTGTGCGACCTTTTGGTTCTGACGGGACGAATTGTTTTAGTTATAAAATGGAGCATCCTGTATGTGAAACGTCACTCATAACTGTTATTAGTATTATTATTAAATTTTATTGTTAAAAATAAAGCATGTATAATTAATTGACTATTTATAAATAAATGAAATGAAAAGGAAACACATTTTAAATAGATTGTATTTGGTTGTTTTATTTATTGAACGATTTCGAAAGTAATTTTGTAACAAAATTTAAAACTACGGTAAACACTGCCCTAGGTTATTTGCCTAATGAAAAGCGGAGAAATGAGTTTTTTAATTGTGCTACATGGGTCAACGAGCTCACGGTCCATCTAGTGTTAAGTGGTCACCGAAACCCATAGACTTGAAGCGAGTGCCGTGGCGCAGGTTACCAAACCAGCTGTATATGAAGCTGTACATGTACTTGTATCGCGTTGCTGTGTGAGAATTAGAGTTCCGAGAGTCGATTCCAAGAAAATTGAAGTTTGGCGTTCAATGCGGCGCGGGCGGCGGAGGGGACGTGGCCTTATCAACCGCTTGCTGCTCTTCTCCATCCTCTCCGTCCTCCTCGACTTCCCCCTCCCCCTCGACGTCTCCCTCCACCTCTGCGTCGCCGTCGTTGTCCCCTTCAACAGCCGCTTCCGACTCGCCAGGTTCACCAGTTTCAATGCTTTGACTTTGCGCATTAGATTCTTCCGTAAGGTCTTCTTTAGTTTCGTGCCGTTTGGTCTGCAACGAAAACTCCGAGGATTAACTTTTGTAAGCTTGTGTGTAAGCTTGACGATAGTTTTGATTTAATAAACCTTATAAAAGAGTTCTAATGTGACATCTCGGTTGACGGTTCTCGAGAATATCATCGGCTTAGGTAGAATATAATAAGTTATCGCTGCCAAATACTACATCCAGAGGCTAACAACCGATTACCTTTATTTATTACAACTTAATTTATTTCCCCGGGTTTTCGCGGGTAGCCTAAGGGGTTATTCCAGCTACGCCCGGACGGGTAGGTGAGCTCACGGGCTCAACCTGAGAGAATTTGCTAACACTAGCCCTAGCAAGAGCAGCGCGTCGCAGAATCTACCACCAGATCGGAATCGCGACTGATCGAGAAGATCCAACGAGAAACTCAGTGGGCTTCAAGGGATACATTACCATTTTCTACAATAGAATGTTAGATTTTAACTGTTTATACATGCATACCTTTTTCTTTTTCTTCGGTTTTTGCTTCGGTTTCGGCTCGGGCTCGCTGTAACCGGGTGGAAAGAACTTAGCGCACTCTTCCGCTCCCACGACCGCGTCTTCACTGACGTGCAGAGGACCTAACGCCAATAACTGTTCTGGTGGACCTTGAGGTGGAATGTCTTTGGGATCTGCCAGCTCAGGCGCCGCCAGACCTACTGCTATCATCAGGACTATTGTTTCAGAGCTGAAAATTAATATTACACGGTGGTACAAGGCTCGAATGTTCAGTTAGGTTTATTGGTAATAACATGTTCTATCTTATTTTATAGGTAAAGATGGACGAACAATGTGGGGCAGGTGACATGTTCTCGATCTATGTCGATTCAAATTTCAAAAAAACGGAGTTGTACCTACCTAACCGACTTCTGAACATGGCTTCGATCAACAATAGTAACTGTTGATCGAAGGAACATGGTATCAAGAACTGATTTTTTTTTTTGTTTAGGTTCTGGCGGGACGACCTCACGGCGTACCTAGTATTATGTGGTTACCGGAGCCTATAGACATCTTTAACAAAAATGCCGCCACCCAGCTTGAGACATGAGGTCTAAGGTCTCCGTTTTTACAGTTTAACGGCTGCCCCATCTTTCAAACCGAAACGCATTACTGCTTTACCGCAGAAATAGGCAGGGTGGTGGTACTTACCCATGTGGACTCACAATACGTTCTACCACCAGTAATTTACTAGCTACACTAGTTATAGTCACCAGTAGTTGACTAGAAGGAGCACAAACTTACAAATCCTTTTCTGGTCTGAGCTCGTACTGTTCTATGTTCTTAGCCAGTAGCTTGGGCTCGGTCAGGCTGGCGTCAGCGAAGAACCCGTAGTGCAGCAGGCGCGAGGTGTCGCACACGGCCAGCAGGGCGCGGCGCTGCCACGCTCCGAACATCAGCGCGATGTGCGGCGCCGTGGGGGGCGGCCCCGGCTCCACCAGCGACGACACCATCTGTTACAGCTAACTGATGTGCTCATTGTTCCCTTTTTTTTTCCTACCTAAGCTGATAGCCTTGGGAGGCTATTTCAGCGTAACCTTAACTAGTAGATGAGCTCACGGGGCTTAAACCGCAGTGATGCTAGCACTGACCCTAGCAAGAGTAGTGCTTCGCAGAATCTACCACCGGATCAGAAACGCAACCCACTGAGAAGATCGGCGAGAAACTCAGTGGGCTGTGTCTATGGGTTAATTCGTTCGTCGAACCCTTCGTCACAAGCGACGGGTTTTACGAAGACGGTGACCGGTTGTTCCCATATGCTCTGAACCATGACTTCATGTCGGAAAGCCAGCGATTTACAAGTCTAAACGGATGTTATTTGTACTAATTACATAAATAAACAAGTTATAAGATCCAAATCCCGGGTAATGACCAGCAGCTTGACAAATACATCATGCAATTATTAAGCCTGATCAAAATTATTAATTAAATGTTAGCAAGCGATTCGTCAATGGAATAGACCATACAGCTCATTAAGCTACGTTCGATCTTCAATTAGGTATCAACGAAATGTCGAAACTATACTTTTGGGAACAGCAAGTCCAGCACAGCAGCTCTCTGGTGCCTGTCAGCCGGCACGTATACTCCCGGCGTGGACTCAGCGCGCAGTTCCTCAGCGGGGACCTTCTTGTTCGGTTCTCCGTCTCCTGTCTTGACGCCATCACCGTAGAGCGCCCGACGACATAGTTCTGCGTCAAAACTGATATTACTATTTGGATAACTAGTCTACGGTTTAATCAAATAATTCCAAACTCATTTGTTAATATAATTGAATGTAAATATAAAGATTACAAATTTACCCCACCTATGACGTCACCATCCTTTTCCGGTGTTTTTTTCAGCAGTAAAGCCAATGAGGGTCTTTCTGCGATGGCTGATATCGCAGCTTCCGTTGCCAGCTCAAGCTCTTCGACGCCAAGGACTCTGACTCCATCTTTACCAAGGAGTATTGGACATTTGTCTGCTAGAATGACTCCTGTTAAAACAATAATCAATCAAAAATAATTTCTTTGACTATTTGGATTCTTTTTGAAACGTTTTTATTTTTTAGATCACAGCCTGAAAGGAAATTTAAAAGCTGAAAAATATATTTTGTATAAAACATAGAAATTTCGTTTAAAATCATAGCAGTACTCAGTGAATACTTTTTTCCTACCTAAACTGATAGCCTTGAGAGGCTATTTCAGCGTTAACTTAACTGGTAGGTGAGTTCACGGGGCTCAAACCGCAGTGATGCTAACACTAACCCCAGCGAGAGCAGTGCTTCGCAGAATCTACCATCGGATCGGAAACGCGCCCCACTGAGAAGATCCGGCGAGAAATCCAGTGGGTTGTGTCTGAGGGTTAATTCGCTCGTCGAGCCCTTCGTCGCAAGCGACGTGGACGGTGACCACAACAACGGTGATACAACGGTGTTCGAATCCTGCAGGCAGCTACCAACTTTTCTAATGAAATACGTACTTAACAGTTGTTTACGATTGACTACTTCTAGTAGAATAGTTTCAAGAGAATTAGAATAGAAATAGAAGAAGAATTTGTCTCAGTCACTGCGCACCGAGACCGGGATTACTAATACACGTATAGCTGTTATACGGGCTATAAAGAGATGTTAGTAGTATATTTTATTATGAATACAGAATAGTTGAAGTCGTTGTGGCCTAAAGGATAAGACGTCCGGTGCATTCGTATCGAGCAATGCAACGGTGTTCGAATCCCGCAGGCGGGTACCAATATTTCTAATGAAATACGTACTCAACAAATGTTCACGATTGACTTCCACGGTGAAGGAATAACATCGTGTAATAAAAATCAAACCCGCAAAATTATAATTTGCGTGATTACTGGTGGTAGGACGTCAGGTGAGTCCGCACGGGTAGGTACCACCACCCTGCCTATTTCTGCCGTGAAGCAGTAATGCGTTTCGGTTTGAAGGGCGGGGCAGCCATTGTAGTGTTAAAACTGAGACCTTACAACTCAGGTCTCGAGGTGGGTGGCGGCATTTACGTTGTGGATGTCTATGGGCTCCGGTTACCACTTAACACCAGGTGGGCCGTGAGCTCGTTCAAACATCCAATTAAAAAAAATGTGTGCGTGTACTAGTGTACACACGTAAGAAGTGAAACATTAATGCTATCCCTACTCCGTTGGAGAAAGTGAAAGTACTCTTCGTCTGAACCAACCGTGGTAGGGGCAAGAAAAAGATGGCGCGTAACGGAAAAATGTGACGCGTAACCGAAAAACGTGACGGTAAATTTTTTTCCAACGCCGATAAGGAAGTTTCACTTCAATAAATAAAATATTATCATTAAGACTTCGGCCTCATGTATGATGGTGGGTAGCGGCAAATAGTTGTTGTCTATCAGCTCACCAGATCGACTTTGTGTTCGTCTATATATCTAGCAAAAAATTTATTACATATTAAATTATCTGACGAAGAACAAAGTCAAATGAGTGTCATTTAAGCATCTGCAGTTTTTAAATTACTTACGAAAGAGCTACGATGCCTTTGAATGCTCCTCGCGCCATACAATATAAATTATTTTTATTATAACTGAATTGACAATAATTTTAGTTAAAAAAAAACGAAATATCCTAACATAAAATATCGTAGGATTTTTGTTTTTAACTATATTTTGTAATGTAATGTTTTGAAATATGTAATTGGTAAATTGTCAAACATATTTCTAACTAGCTGACCCGGCAGACTTCGTAGTGCCTCAATCGATAAATTGGAGCATTTTCATATTTTTTCACCTTTTAAGCCTTCTCTGGACTTCTACGAATAATTCAAGACCAAAATTAGCCAAAACGGTCTAGCCCTTCTCGAGTTTTAGCGAGACTAACGAACAACAATTCATTTTTATATATATAGATATTATATGTTCATTATACAGTGAACATTTATCGTTCACTAACCATGAGGCTCCAACGCATCGGTAATCTTCCTCAAATGTTTCTGAGCATGTGGCATCACGAGCGCCGGACACACATCGGCGAAGTGCGTCTCCAAGCGACACGCCCTGGTCTCGCGTCTCATTATCCTTGCGGCTTCCACTGCTGCCTCTTCCCGAGCACGCCGCTCTTGTTGCAGCTTCTCTTTAGCCTCGGCTACTTCCTGCGAATTTATTAAATGTGACGTGAGTATCTTTGATTCTGTCGCCAATTGCACGCCACTAAACCCGATCCTCGGCTCAGTGGCGTGCAATTGGAGAGGCATATGTCTATGCTGCTGATATAGGACTGCTATAGGCTGATGATGATGTGTTTTATAACTAAGTATTACGCGGAGGTAGGTTTCTGTGTTCTTTTCACTCTCTTTTACAGACCGCTACCTCTTCAAGTCGTTTATTTTCTATTCCCTTTTTAATTATCTATATATATAAAAACGAATTGCTGTTCGTCAGTCTCGCTAAAACTCGAGAACGGCTGGACCGATTTGGCTAATTTTTGGTCTTGAATTATTTGTGGAAGTCCAGAGAAGGTTTAAAAGGTAGACAAATATGAAAATGCTCGGAATTAAATAAAAATTACAATTTTGTATTTCCTTTGATGTGTCCCCCGTCGGACGGATTCCTTTTGTTTGTTTTAAGTTTATTTTATACAAAAGTTTAGGTCTTTTATTTATCGACTGAGGCACTACGAAGTCTGCCGGGTCAGCTAGTGTAGCAATATTTATCTAATACTTCATATACAAGGGCAATCAAATCGACCGCATTTAACCTTTTTTGTTATGTGGCTCGAATTTCCTAAAGACATCCTCGTGTCGTAGGGGCGGACGTTGTTTGTGGGTCTGCACATGATTACCCAGTAAATATACATCGGCCGTCAAGCCACGGCGGCCAGTCAGGCCATCTAGGTAGTACCGTTTATATTACAGAAGATGTCGCTGGGCCAGAACCATCCGGACCAAAAAACGATGCTGGTGGACTAACGGCACCCCGCCTTTAAGCCTCCAGCCGTATCAAGACTTTTTCTGTTGAAAAAGTTTAGTTCCGTGCCAAATCAACACCAGTTCCAGATGTTGTATTTTGGTACAAACAAGTGCACGGCGGACGGCTGCTCCTGACGTTTACAAAAGCTCTCTAATACAAGACACCCCTACTAAATATTTGAGCCCGCCCTTAAATTAAAACTCAGCCTCTCGTTCATTGGAATAGCGGCAATTAAAACAACACCTAAGTTCTATATCACAAGAATAGGCCTAAAATTTAAGTACTCGTACTCGTAATATTTTTGTAATTATCTAGTTATTAAAATTAAGTCTAACCTGCTCAGGAGGCGTAAGCTCATGAGGGGCTCTTTTAGGTCGTTCTCTTTCTCCTTTTCTAGCCAACTCCTCGTTCTGCAACTCCTGTTCTATGGTGCGGGCTAGTCGGGGAGCGTCCGCCCCGAATACCACGTTCAAAAGTTGACCGGCCTGTTTGTTAAATATTTATTATTTATGGTGGTTCTGGCTATACATCTGAGGATACCAGTGTGCGACTCCTGGGTACGTAGAATTATTCTTTGTATACTACTTACTGCCTAATTACTAACACTTAATACTAGTGGAAGGCCATGTTGCAAAACCGCAAAGGTTGTTCACTAACCTGCGCATTTCCGCTGAAAAGCAATCGTGTGTTTGGATCTGAAGGGTCGGACAACCTGACTACCGTGATGCGTAAAGTTCATCTTCCTTCTCCTTCTTAATAAGCAGAACTTTCTTTCTCAGACTATTAAAATTATTTGACAATGCACAAAAGTAAACAAAAGTTTGGTATTAGAATTACAAATGAGTTCACAGACATCAAAGTTACGATCGCATTGACCTTGAGCAGTGTATAGAATTCTAATCAGAAAGAAAACTCATATAGACAGCCAACAACCTTAGGAGTATCTTAGGGGTGCTTCGTCAGAAAACGGAAATATAAGCTCCGTCAGTTTATAATCACGATAAAAGATACTCAAATAAATATTCAGTTTTTAGCCAATAGCACGCGGGATGTTGAGATCCTTCGACAACGACTATTTATTTACAAAAATATGATAAGTAGGTGCACTTTATGCGATTTAAGATGATTGACATGATCACACAAATAATATATAACAGACAGAGACGTGGTATGAACAAGGGCACAGGATCTGAAGGCCCACCCGATGTTAAAAGGCTATCGGAACCCTTCATATAAATTTCATCTAACTTGTCAAAGAGAGCTAGCAGTTGGCAGGGTCTGCGTTATTGCTTTGTGCCAGAAATCCTCTAGGCAATAGGCTCCGAGATGCGCGAATTAAAAAAAGGACAAAAAACAAAATATGTTTAAAAATATGTTCATATGTAATAGCCCTAATCCAACGAACGTATGTGTATACGTGTTGTAGTTTGGTCGATACGATTCACATCGTACCACTGCTCCCTTTTACCACATACATATGAACATTTTCTCATGGCTCTGTGTAGACAGTACCTAAACTACTGAAAGTTGCAAGTTGAAAAGTTAAGTGAAGAAAAACCAACGAACGCTAACTTTATTCATACAAACATAAAATTTTTACTCTGTTATACCACACATATATAACGTTTTCGTGAAGTCTTTACAGAACATCATCCAAATAAATGTGTGATTAAAAACTAGAATCGAATGAAGTTGACTCACAGCAATGAACATCCAAGTGGGCTCACTTCTCTTCCTGAACCGCTTCAAACATTCAATCGTATCTGACTTAGCCTAAAAAGAGACATCAAAAATGAAGTTAAAGTAGTATTATTATAAAAAAAAATATTGCCTTTGTAGGGAGACGAGCATACGGCCCACCTGATGGTAAGTATGTGTCGTATGTAGCGGGGCAGAGCCTTAAGCATGCAGAGTTGACCTCCTTCTCTCTCTTTCTGTCTTTCATCCTAACATGTAGGGTTGCAGTGGTACTCTATTGCAATTGAACTTTCGACATCACCTCTGAGGTGAGTGGCGATATTGACATTGCGATGTATATGGCCCCTACAAATATCTTGATAACTGGCAGTGACTTCGTTCGCTTATGTAGAGCAACAAAAATGTTGACTACTGAGAAAAGGAACTCTTCCCGAGGAACTCACTTAGGATGAACGCAAGGATGTCAGTTTCTATGGTATGAACGCGGGTGGCGCGTAGGGCAGATGGAATACGAGTATAACGTGCTTACGATGGCGAGGTGCAGGTTGTCTCCACCTAACTCCACTTTGATTTTCTTGAGGTTCCCAACCATCCCGATGCAGGGTCCACACCATTCGGTGTACACGTCTATCACTAGTAACATAAATACGGTAACATTAGTTCAGTTTCTATTACAATTATTGTGAGTTAGAAATGGTTAAAACACTTTGCTAGTTTAATTACGTTATCAATTTTAATGAAACGATTTAAACATATTATATTTATGCCGTAGCTTCGCGGCTCGGTGGATTGGTTAGGATTATTTCTTCCGCAATGTTATAATGTTTTGGTTACAAAGTATTGCAAATATTATCATAGTTATCATTCGGAATGAGTTTTCAACCTCAGTAATCAAAGTTCAATAATCAAACCTATAAAGTTTATAACATTTCCTTAAGGATATGTGAATACCACCGTCCCTTCGATTTCTGTTTGAATGTAGGGGCAGTCTTGATGCAGAGCAGTTTAGATTCCCGTGGTTATGTGAGCCCGGTGGGCCGGCAGATTGACTGCGCATCTGGACCTGCCTAATTACAGTATATACTATAGGTACTAAAACTAAATTTGTATATTCAAAATATCAACTTACCTAAAAGTCCGTCTCTATTGATGAACTTATTCCACTCATCGTCGGTGTTGAGTTCGGCCTGGAGTTGAACCTGGGCCGCCTTCTTGCCTGCCCCGGCGGCGGCGGCGGCGGCGGCGGCGTTAGCGACCGCACTCGTCAGTGCCATGGGGCGGAGTGTCGGAGCGGTGACAGTGCATGTCGTGAAGGGCGGATTGTGGAGCAGCGGGAAGCGTTGTGTGGAAGCGATACATCATTAATAACTAGCGCGTGCGAGCTTCTCATAGTGACGTGTTAGTGACACTAAATACAGGCTCGTATTTACGGTTATTCTAATTTGATTTAATTTAAAGCCCAAAGTTGGATGGTGCCGCTAAATAAATTAAAAGATTATTTTTTTAGATTAAATTAACAGGCTCCTAGTTTTGGGTATTTTAATTAGCACAAAATGATCATATACTTTATCTCCAACAAGCTTAATTTGGTTTGGGACGGAGGGGTTACTGGTAGCTTGAGGGTCTGCACTAGAATGGGTGCGAGAACTGAAGGGCTCAAGACGGAGGTAGAGTCCGAAGCGAACAAGCGTATTTGAAGATCTAACAAATCAAAGGCAGTTGCTTCGCGGGGAAATTAATAAGATATTCAGGGTCAGATTTGGGAGAGGGCAACCGGGGCGAGAGCCCCGGAGCCTCCACAAACGAAGGGCCCCTCTAATAGAGACTTTGGAAAAAAAATCTTTAAAATTCCGATAAGGAACCATCTTTGAAATTCCGATAAGGAAATTCCGACCAGGAAACATCTTTTCCTTCTCCTTCGATATTCTTTTTTCGCTGTTTTACTTAACGTTAACGATAACACTAAAATTTTAATTTCAGATAGTTTTTTTCTCTGATTGTATGTTTGTTAAATACTAATAGAGTTTACGTGGTTTCACAATAAATTATTTATTGGAAAACTCGACTGAAAAAGTGTTCATTTTATTTGGAAAATAATTTGGGGCCAGGGGCCCTCCGCTCCTCTGTTGCCCCGAGTCCTCCAGACCGGATTTAGAGGTGATGATATTGGTGGTTTAATTTTATAATTATTATTTTATTTCATTTTATTTTTTGTTAGAGCGCCATCTGTTGTGCATGGTTGTAAGTACAAGGAATAGTGAAGATTGGAATTCTTTCACTCTGCTAGCCGCTAGATGGAAGCTAAATCTATTTTCGTTTTGTGAGGTGGTTCTTTTTCTCATCTTATTTTTGGTTCAGTTTTTACTACAGTTTACCAATGCAAATGTGTTATTGCTACAGTGGTCCGATAATAATATAATTGTAAATGAAGTAAATTTTAGATTGCACGAGAAAGCGCTTGGTTCGATTAGGCTCCAACTTAAGATAGGTATATTAACAGTTTGCTTGTAATATATTTTCACAACAATGTTAATGAATAAATAGCATTGGCGATCGTATTTTTTAAGAACGTTTACTAGTTTAGACTCCCGGCACAAAGTATATGAATTGAATATTTTTTTGGTTGGATGCTTCGGAGATCCCGCGCCGAGGGGTCGCGCCCAATATGCGACTTCCGTTGCAATCCATTAAATGATTTACTTGAATAGAAAACTTTATAGACTGACAATAAAAAAATCTAACCGAGGTAGATGCCGCTCACCCTCAACAGGTTGACATTATCGTCTCGAAGTATAAGACGTTTAGTTCTTTGAAATTTACTTGACCCACACTGGCCCAGGAGATTCACGTCCTTACGGATTCATCAGATCCAATAACCTGTTCATTAGACGCCGTCCGCTCTAACGCTAGGAGCAGGCTTAGGGACCCCGGTGACCGTACCTACTCGTCGAACTCGACAAAGAGGTCGAAGTGCAATCTAGCCCATGCTTCCGCTCGCTGAGTTTCTCGCCGGATCTTCCCAGCGGGTCGCGATTCCGATCCGGTAGTAGATTCATTCGCAAAGCAGTTGCTCTTGAGTTGTTAGGTCTCCTTCGGAGACGCTCGGGCAGCTGTTACCAAACCCCACCCCTCCTGGCTGAGCCTTTGCTCGCCCACCTGTTCTGGTGAAACTGGAAAGGCCTCCGGGCCACCAGTAATCCTTCAATCATAAAAAAGTTAGGAGATATAATATAATGAATAAGTATTTTTGCATTGACGTGTGAACTAGCTGACAGTCCACCGCACACATCACAACGTAAATCCCGTCGCTGACATTGAAAAATAAAGTCTAAGTTTCAATAGCATATAGTAATTCTAATGAAATACGTACTCAACAAATGTTCACGGTTAGCTTCCACGGTGAAAGAATAGCATCGTGTAATAAAAATCAAACCCGCAAAATTATAATTTGTGTAATCACTGGTGGTAGGACCTCTTGGGAGTCCGCACGGGTAGGTACCACTAACCTGCCTATTTCCGCCGTGAAGCGGTAATGCGTTTCGGTTCGAAGGGTTGTAAGGTTGGGTAGCCGTTGTAACTATACTGAGACCCTAGAAATTACGTCTCGAGTTGGGTGGCGTATTTACGTTGTAGATATCTATGGGCTCCAGTAACCACTTAACACCAGGTGGGCTGTGAGCTCGTCCACCCATCTAAGCATTAAAAAAAAGAAAAAATATATTGTAAGGACTGTTCCATCGTTCAAGCCGGAAAGCGTTATTGCTTCGCGTTAGAAGTAGTCAGGTCCGTGATACCTACCCGACCGGGTTCACAACTCTGCCTACCAGTGTACATACAATGTCAAGAAAATTCAGTTCTCGCGCATAAAACTTCTTGGTAGTCGTCACAGAAACTTTCTAATTTTACAAATTCGTTGTTAATCGCAATCATTACTCAAAACTTTTTACAAATGTTAGGATTGCATGACTCGGTTAAAGGAAAGCCGAGTCGAAGTATTGCATAAATACCGGTTTATTATGGACATTCCTTTGGCATGAAATAATGACAATCTAATTGTCGTTTTTCGAAGAAATAGTTTACAGGTATAACATACAGTACAGCTATACCTGGAACCCTTTGTTGCTACAAGTTGTTTACAAACAATTCTTCAATGTATGGTGGTACGTATTAGTGGTAGGACGTCTTGTGAATGGGCACGGGTAGGTACCACCACCCTCTGCCTATTTCAGCTGTGAAGCAGTAACGCGTTTCGGTTTGAAGGGCGGGGCAGCCGTTGTAAAAACTGTTGTTCTAAAAACTGTTGCTGTAAAGACTGAGACCTTAGAACTCGTAACTCACGGTAGGTTGCGGCATTTACGTTGTAGATGTCTATAGGCTCCGGTAGCCACTTAATATCAGGTAGGCCGTGAGCTCGTCCAGCCACCTAAGCAATAAAAATAATGTATCAAGAAATCTTCTCCATCTACTATTCGTAGCTACTGTTGTGATCGTCCAGCATATACTTCCCGCGAAGTTATCACGCGTACCAGATTTAAGAGGGAAATGATCGGAATAGAATAATAGTGTACGAATGCAATTATTTTTTAGAGTTACACTTCGAGCCTAAAGGTCATAGAATTAATGTTGTAATATTGTCAGGTCCGTCACTCACTTATAAGGATCGTCATCAACCATTCATATCAATATTTAACGTTAAAAATATTACATTAAACTCTTGAGCCGAAATGTTTTTAATTATTAAAAATGTCTTGTTATGTTCTGAAAATAAACGTCAATATAAAACTGTCACTTGCTTCTGTAATCCGGAATTGTGTTCCCCGAGAATCTCTTTTGTGGCATTTGTAAAGGCTTTGTAAATAGAGTGTACGCGCTTCGTTGTGGGTATGAAAATAGAATATTTCCATATTAATAGAGCTCGGGCCGCGTCCGGCTCGGTACATAATTAAGAGCCACATTAGGCCTGTGATGAGGTACTCCCAGGCCTCGTTCCGGGCGGCGCGGGTGACCGGCGTTTTCATTTTTCTAATTTTTCGGAAAAAAGACCCGATTTTTCTTTCAGGCATTCTAAAAACCTTACTGGTGGTAGGATCTCTTGAGAGTCTGCGCGGGTAGGTACCACCACCCTGCCTATTTTTGCCGTGAAGTAGTAATGCGTTTCGGTTTGAAGGGTGGGGCAGCCGTTGTAACTATATTTGAGACCTTAGAACTTATATCTCAAGGTGGATGGCGCATTTACGTTGTAGATGTCTATGGGCTCCAGTAACCACTTAAAACCAGGTGGGCTGTGAGCTTGTCCACCCATTTAAGCAATAAAAAAAAAGAAAGTCATAAAAGTCATTTGACAAAAGTCAAAGACCAATGTCTTGGCGTGTTGGTTCAAAAATAACATTACTCAAACTGTCGTAGTTAACATCGCGGAGACAGCCACCACAGCGATTCTATTATAATAATAATAATGTAAATCCGTGATGTTCTCGTCACAAGCCATGAGAATTAGAAATTCAAGAGTACATAAATAAAAATACATCAGCCCGTTGGATACTAGTGCTTAAATAAGATTGAAAGTTGGTGTCTCAAGATACCAGACCTCCACCGACACCCCTGTCTCTTACAAAATTACGTTTCTGCTCTTATTGCGCAAGTAAAAATGTGGTGTTTTACAAAAGTAATGGGTGGTACAAGAGTATTGGGAGGTTAGTAGATATATGTACGAATTAGCGCTTAATGACATTAGTGTGGGTCTAGGGGTGTGTAATAGTAAGCTGTTGTGGATAACTGTGTGTATGAGCGGGTGCGCAGGGGAGTGATATAAAGAAAATCAGGAGAGAGCGTACTAGTATTGCTTAAATTATTTTCTTTTTTACTGTCACGTCTCTGATTAACAACTCACTATGTCTTTGATAACAAATAGCATCTAATTTCACTAATTATACAATAGCGATATATAAAAGGTATTGTTACATTTTTTCAAAAGGTAATATATAGGGAATATAATTGGTACCAGCCCTTCAAGCTACAACGTATGTTTACTTTGCAGCATATACTATTATGGGCGGGATGGTGATCCTCCTTTGCGACATTACAAGGCGCCGTATCACCCGTAATTACGTAGTAAGGATGTGTAATAAAGTTTGTCGTCGACGCCTGTACTTATTCCACATTAATGTGTTGGTATCGTCGTTAAAAATAGGTTCCAGAGCTTCTTTGGTCAGCTTGTGGATAGCATACGATCACACGACTCTTGAAGTATTCAGAAAATAATATAGGAATGGTTATAGGATACCTCATATTATTTTAATTATAATGAAAAGACAGGTAATATTATTGAACTTCTACCTCTAGAAATTTTTAAACTTTTTGTAGGCAGATGAGTGCACGGCTCACCTGACGG